CTTGGGGCCTGAAATTTATTAGGTCCACCTGGTGCCCCAGCTTAATCTTTATTATATAAATGCAAACATGAGTGAAAATAACAGGGGGATGTAAGGTGTCCAGTTACATTTTTGCTGTAAAAACACTGTGGTACTCCTCAATACATTATTGTAAATATAACTATATAATGTTATATAATATGATAATACACACTAAAAGCTCTTCTGCTCAGTTATGGATGTATGACTCCCCCATGACATGCCTCACAGTGGTTTGATCCACTGCTTGTTGTTTCCTGACTCTAGTGCTGCATTCTGCAAATTTTGGCATTGATTCAATACTAACTAAATACAGGGCCAGTATTACCGATACCATTTAACCAATGAAAGCAGCTTATGTATTGAAGATGAGATGAAGTATCATCAATATACAAAGTCTGAACACACTTTAATGAAATCACTGTGATTTTTCCTTTCACCAAAACAATTCAGCTGTGTGCCTGTTTCTAAAGCACTTTGGATCGGTTTATGTTGGATCAGTTTATGTTGTTTAAATAAATAAAGTAGGCATGACGGCCAGCACAAAAAGTTTCAGGGATTTTTCACTATTGTTTTTCACACATTTCACTATTGGTTAGAAACAAAGTATCAATCCTATTGCTCTAGTATCGATTCAACACTAGTACCAGCATTGGTATCCATGGATACAAGTCTGGTCAAAGTTAAAATCACCATAACTCAGTGGATTTTCAAACAATTTTCAAGTGGTTTCGTTTGGCATTTTTTTCTGATTTCATTTGGTGTTTTCTCCTTTTCTGTGCTCTACACCCCCTTACTGGTTCTTGGTCCCTCTGTGCCAAAACCATATAAAATTTCCTGGAAACGCCTCTGTATGTAACGGTCATTGTATTCAGTTATTAGACTTACAGCACGTTATTGGATGAGAAGATACCTCTATGATTATACTAATTAAATGGTTTTAAATATCACTTTAGAATAAATATACTTTATAATCAATAGAGAATATTTACAGTTTATAAAAGCATTTCATCAGAACTACAGTGAGTCACTTTATATACTGTTGAATCTGTTGACAATCAGAACTTGTAAACATGTTAACATTTTGTCAAAGTGAATATAATAAAAGTCAATAAAAAGCAAGGCACCACATTATTAACTGTAAAGAAATTTATTTAAAACCTTCTTTGACTCGTAGCCTTTGAAACAGAGAAAGCTGCTCAAATAGGCAGCAACACTGTCCCTTCCAGCTAAGGGTTAGGGTCTGTGAACGTAGATCCTGTTGCTCATGCATCAACATGTTGGAAATGACCTCCTGGCATCAGTTGAAAATATCAATGACTGCATAAATGATACATGATACAGATCATAGCAACAATGATGCAATGGTGTGTTTTAAAATGTGTTTCAGTGCATGGAGCAGTGGCTATGGAGGAAAAGGAACTGTCCCACATGCCGTGTCTACGTATCCATGCTAAAGCCCCTCTATTGGCCTTCTTGTCGCACCACCGTCCCATAATGGTCCTGCACCTACACTTGAAATGTCTGCATGTATATGTGACCCCAAGACCTCCTCCTCTCCATCTCCACGCCTCGTTCTTTCTGCATGAACACCCTCTGCAAAACTGTCTTCTGTCCCTGAAGGAAGCAGGAAATGAGAGTGAGGATATCTCATGTGAGAGACACGAGCTGTCATTGGACGGTGATTATTTATATAAGAGCGCTTGTAAATTAATGCACTATCAGGGAGGATTAGTCTTTCTTGTTCTTATTTTGTTTTTGTCCAAAAATGATTCTAAACAATTTCTAATGACATGCAGTTAGGTGGAGCAAATATCCTCAAAACTGACAATATTTTTGGTAATGAAAAATAATCTGCCTGAATTCTGCTGAGTTTGTGGTTGAGGTTGAATATTTCCAAGTTCTGAAGTTGAACTTAGATATAAAATCACATCATGAAATAAACAAACAACTCATAAATTAGTCTTCTTACAGCAGGTAGCATATGAATGTGTGCATCAGTAGCAGTCGAATTTCAGGGCTCATAAGACCTCCCATCTGAGTTCCACTGAGCACATCTTTGGCAAGCTGTTTCCCCTCAGTTTAAAGCTTTTAAATGTTAAAAGTTTAATGCTAAGCTGACTAGTTTCTGACTTTGGTTTTATATTTAGCACAGAAATATGGGGAACGTAAATATTTTCCCAAAACCATTCATACACACAAATATTCTATATATTTTTGACAACATTTGACTGACATCTTATAATAATCACAAGTTCCTGATATAGTTTTAATTAAAAATCTTGAAAACAGTCTTAAAAAAAGCTGAAAACTACAGAGAATCAGCTCTAAGACAGGTGACAAATTAAAGGAAAACCATCAAAACCAGTGACCCACGCACTGAAGGGGTCCAGTGGCTATGTTTTGGTGCACTGATTTGAGTCCAGACAGCGTCACTGTATAGCGATACAAACTTTGTCTGACTGGTTACTTTTATGCTACAATGAAAGATGCCACCTACTCGACACAAGGGGTTACTGAATGCTTTTATTACTCAGAACATGATTTTAAGTTAAGCAGTGCTGTACACCATATGAGAGAATGTCTTTTGGAATGATAATGTTTCAGAGGCTTCAGTCGGTGCTAAGGTGCATTAGAATTGCTCTGTCAGCACATGGCAGCTCAATACCTTATTGAGAAGCATGAAGTTGATTTTCCTTCTTTGTCACCTGTCAGTATGGGTTTTTTGCATATTCTGCAGAAGGTGGTTGGTGTATTTCAGTCAATGCTGATTACCCAGTAGAGAAATTTCAACAGCTGCACTAGCAATAGCTCTGCTCTGCTATTTTGAAGGATTGAGCATGCACATTTATTTATTGCCTGCATTCACAATGCTTTCTCTTAAGTAACAAAACTCCTCCCTGCATCAGTGTCATATCTTATCGTACATCTGCACCGTCTTCCTGCCTTACCCAATTAGCTTTTGTTTTGCATGTAAAGGTTTTTGCGTGTGACTTCTATTCGATCGTTTTCAAACATCTCTCTTGTGCCGTGTGTTTTGCACTTCCATGTGAGAAGTTTACAGTATGTACACAAAGTCCAACTAAAAAGAGCTGGCCTATGTATATATTTCAAATCAAATCAAATCAAATCACTTTTTATTGTCACATCACATGTGCAGGCACACTGGCACAGCACATGCGAGTGAAATTCTTGTGTGCGAGCCCCACAAGCAACAGAGATGTGCAAACACAACAACACAAACGAGCAAAATACAAGAATGGCCAACCTGAAACTAATAAATATATGTACAATATATAATAGTGTATTTAGCCATGTAAATATGCAGTTATATAAAGGATAGCTCTGTAGTTAATGAAAATTAGAATGCAATTTTAAAATGCTGCTATAGCAGTTCATTTAACCAGCAAATGCTCATAACTACCATTAGATTTATGCACAAAGACACAAAACCTTTGCACTCTGCAGAACAGTTAAAGGCTGTTGGGTTCAGTATGCTTACACCACGGAGGTTATGTGTTTAATTACATTTTCCAACCTTGTGCTTAAAAAGCTGAAGAACTTTTTATGACTCTCAGCAGCACCAACTTCCAGCTGCTGTGTTCACTGTTTCCATTTCACTGTTGTTGTTGTTTTTGCACTCTTGAATAAAAACACAATGAAATGAGTGAAACACCTGTTCTGTATCTCTTTGTTTATCTCTTGATCCCTTTTGTTGTTTCCTTATTCTATCCGCCTTACCCAGGTTAATGAAACAAGTAAAAACAAGTGTTCAGGTAGTTAGGTTTTTCTCCTCTGGTTATTTTCTGTTTTACTTTGAAGGGTTGTTTTCTGTCCATCTTTCCCTGACCCTTTGATTGTTGTAACCTTCTAAGTATGCTCGCCTGTGTCTCATCCTCCTCTGCCAGTTATCCCAAGTGTCAGTGTTGCTCCTTTCTGAGCTGCCTGCTTGATTCACCTGAGTTTACGATTTTGATCTTCACACTGAGCAACCAAATGTGACGCACAAAGTTTCTTATCTAATATGCCAAATATCTATATCTTGATGTTGCCTAAAACCACCTAGTAAAATGAGTTTATTTCCTCTAACGTTATGCACCTACAACACTTCATAAATGCATCATATCATTTTAATCTCACAGCCACCAGCATGAAGAGGGTAAATAATAGTAAAGCAAGGCCATGTGCTTGTACAGAAAGTTTTTCTTAACTGTTGGTTAGCTGGATGTGTTAACATTAATTACATATAATGTAATGGTTAACACCAGCTACAACATTAAAGTGCTATAATGAATAATTATGGCCCAGTACTATAATTGATAACTCTGCATAATAAGTTCTCTTCTTTCTTTCAAGGCCCTGGTACTCCTACGGAAGAGGATTAGGGCCACTGGAAAAAAAATCTGAGAAAAAAGTCAGAATTCTGACTTTTTTTCTCAGAATTCAGGAAAAGAAGAAGAAAAAGACGTGCCCACTTTTTTTTCCCAGTGGCCCTAATCCTCTTCCGTATACTCCCCTATGTCGCCCCACTGAAAAAAAAATCTTGGAGACGCCCCTACGTGGCCAGTCGTTTCCTTCATGAACATTCACGACTTTCTACTTTTTTCCTCTATTGTAACTTAAACTGTGTGGACTGGTTGGAGACAATTAAGCGAGTAAAACGAGACTTGGTCAAGAAACCTCCTGCCTGAGGATGAGGAAGTCTTCCAGCTGTGGTGTACGTGCTGGAAATCTTGTCCCGGCCCAGCCAGGCCTGCCCTGGCACGACGGAAAGTAGCGGTTTTCCCAGAGTGGGAGGGACCGAGCCGTGCACGAGCAGGCGGAGTGAAAGTGCACACGTGGACACCTGAGATTGACGTTACCTCCAACCAATGACCGCACAGACAGGTGACGCAAGCTCACACTCATCCAATGGGAGGGTTTGATAAGAGAAAAGCTCGAAGTGTTTAGAGTAGGAGGAAAAAAGGGTTGTGAAACGGATCTGGTCTGGATCCTGCTGGGATTCCGACTCGGAGAAGATGTTTACTTCTTGTGTCTAGGCTATAAGAGAGAGACCCATATTCTTTTCCAAAAGAAAAAAAAAAGATTTTATGCGATTGGGGGGCAAAGTGAAGATGCGTTAAAAAATTTCTTCCCCTTTTCTGTCTGAATACTTCCACTAACTTTTGATCTTCGGAGAAAAACAAACTTGGGTAAGAGACCCTCTCTTTTCCTCTCACAGTAAGAAAATCAAGCCTACTGTGTCATGTGTAGATAAAATGTAAAGCCAGGTCAAGAAAGAAAGAAAAAGAAGGAAGGAAGAAAGGAAGGAGGGGGAAAAAGATTAGGAAGGTCTCCATCGAGAATTATGTACAAGACATCGGGTGGCCGTTTAGACAATGTTGCTGAGTGATTTCACGATTTAACTTCCACAACACTGTTTCATCTCCTGAAGCTAAAATAAACTACTTAAAAAAGAAAAAAAAAACTACTAAAAAAAAAAGAAAGTTCTGATTCTGTCAAACGACTGTTTCCATTTTTTTTCTTTTTCTTTTTGTAGACCTCAAGACATCACTGTCCTCAAAGTTTACGTTCAGGAGAGATAAATCAGAGTAATTTCACTTCAGATTGGCTTGGAAATTTAAACTTGCTAAAACGTTTAGTATAAACCCTTAGAGTGAAGTATCACATATTGTAGGTTCACAAATGTGATGCAGACTCTACTTATTCAGTAATGTCATTTTAATTTTGGCTTGATCTAGAATATTGTTAATCTTACAGTGGATGAGACGGGATCAGTGGTGGTATGCACCATGCTACATTTACTCAAAAACTTACAGAAAAACCTACTTTATTGAAGTGTGCACCCTTTCTAATTAGCTCAGCTGAAGTTTTTTTTGTTTGCTTGTTTGTTTTTTGTTATATTTTTAATAGCAAAACTCAAACAGGAACACCTTTGAAGACAGCTGCCTCCCAGACATCCCAGCCTCAAACATATGCACCAAAACCTCTTCATGCTCATAGTTTTGACCAATTCACAGAATTGAAATCATATTTGTACTTGGCGAACACTTTTACTACACCACTCCCACCATGTTGGTGTAATAAAAGCATACTTTATTTTATTTTACGTCGTTGTCATAAAAACGGTCTGGCGCAGATGACTAGTGTTTGTGGCTAAACTAAATCAGCCAAAACACTGAATCAGCCAAACACTGATGAATCCTCTAGTGGCTCTTGAGTGCCATGGAGACTGGAGTGTTTTCCTCAGTCTGGAGAGGCTGCACCCCAAAAGACTGTCGGACACAGATGAGCTGGGTTTAACATCTCAATCGGTTTCTATTGAGTGTCCTCCTTCAAAGGTTTCCTCTGTTGCCGAGCAGAATATTGCCTGGTCATCTCCATCACAAAGGACAGTACAGCCATGTGCCTTTTTCTTATTCTCTGCCTGCTATTCATACCACTCCAGCTTTGCTCTCACTTTACAAAGTGCAGTCATTACCTAAGAGCACTGCAGTCAAACACTTTAAAAAGCTTTCTTTCTTTAATTAAATATGAAGCCTTATGAATTTATAGAAGTCGGAGACAATATCATTATGTTTACCATTCCAGTACCTCTGATCACATAAGTAACATTTTAAGTTAATATGATAAAATTGTTCCAAAGTCTTGTTTTAATGATAATATGAACTATGTTGGACTATATCAAGCTTGGTAAATGATGTAAATTGTTTCTCATTTTGACATGTTTCTCAATATAATGACGTATTGACTGCTTTTCATGCTTTTTCCTGCCTTTTGAAAAAGGAGAATATCAAATTCTGAGTTTTATTTTTTAGATAAGTCTGCAAGTTTTCCTATTAACCTTTTGTTTGACCTAGAAACATAATTTAACTTGACACAATAGACATAGTTTCCACGTCTGAAAAGGGAAATTATTGAGCCTGCATTCTTTCTAATAACCAGCAGGGGTGGTGATTCTGTTTTCAAAAATATATTTTGGTGCATAATAGACTATTAAATAATCTTGGTCTTTTTCACCCTTTGACCTCAGTAAAACCTTTACATATGGGTTATAAGCTCAGGCTCTAGTTTCAACTCTTCTTGAATACAACAGGGTGTTCCTTTTGTAAATGATGGTCCCCATTAGTCTTTCATTCAGTCTCTGATAATGACCAACTGAGATCGTGTGAGTGAAAGTAATTGTTAAGAAACTGGTCAGACAAAGACTTCAGCAGTCCACATAAGTCGGTGCAGGTTTAATGATATTTAGTCATTATCAAGAGGATCCTATACTCAGTGTTAGATGCTGCTGCAGTCTTTGCAAACAAAGTGCTTTTTCTGGAGTGCATGTTAAGAAATGGGTTTCTATTTTTGCACGTAAAGGTAAATGACTCGTGACACTCCTAACAGGCCTCCTCCCACAGCTAGACGCACTTCTGCTGAGCTCAGCTGGAGGATGGTCGCCAACACACACGCTAATTATGTTTGATTACGCTGTTTAACTAAATTATGGGCACTGTTGCACTTTTTTCCCTTTTCTTTTATCCACTTATTCCAGTTGTGCTAAAAATAGATCTTGTCTACTCTTCAGATGATAAGTTAGGTTAAATTATTGTTTGTTTCAAGACATATCTGGCTGATTTAAATAAACATGTTAGTAGTGGGAAGAAGTGTTTTTGTAATATGTACTTCTAATTCCATGAAGTACCTAATCTGTTTCTCTAGGTGTTGAGAGGTATCATGGGCAGCTTCAGAGGCCACGCTCTCCCTGGGACCTTCTTCCTTGTTGCCGGGATTTGGTGGACGGTAAAGTACTCGATTTGGCATGCCACGCGCAGGAACAAGGGTATTGGTTCTACTCGTCTGGCTAGCAGAGCCTCACAGCGACGGCTGGAGATCATTGAGAGCTCAGTCATACTCTTTTTCTCCCTTGTTGGTAAGCGTGTCCAAAAGCTTCTTAATGCATCCATATATCAGATATAACTAGCAAGACTCTTCTCGAGTAAATCCAAGACAAATCAGGGCTTTAATTAAGGAGATGTGCGTGTTTCCTCTGATGTGGTGCTTTCAGGGATGTTGGCAGAACAGTTTGGATCGGGTGGACCGAAGCTTCAGTTGTACGACTTCGTAGAGAAACACTGGGACCATCTGCACAGCTGGCACCACGCCACCATGTACTTGTTCTTTGGGCTCTTTGCAACAGTGTCTCTGATTATCCACACCACAGAAGCGGCACCACTGTCACTGGATCGGTTAATGCTGGCAATTGCTTTCTTTAATGAAGGTAAGAAGAATAAAATGTAATCATTGTCTTTGAGATCCTTTGATATCCTTTTTATTTCAAGCCAGTGCTTCAGGGCAGATCGCTTACTAATAAGTTAATCAGTTTAATCCTTGGTTCCTTCAAAGTCTAAACAATACTATTCTCGAAGATAGTCTTACATCTAAAACACAAAAAAATCCTCCATTAGTGTTTGGCCAAGCTTTATATTGAGGGGTTTATGAATGTGCGCCATTATATCCACCTTTATTATCCATCACTGTAATTGTAGATGGACTGTTTTCACTGCTTCTGCCGTATGTTCCCATACAACAGACCAACTTTCATACTCTGATCTTTTTTTTTAAAATTCAGGTTTTTATTTACAACTTGTTGCCTGTCTGTACATTTTCCAATAAACTTGTATAAATACATTTCTTGTTAATCAAATTGAGTTCCTTCCATTCAAAGGTCATTTTAAGTGTACCCTGTGGGGTTAATTAAGCCTAATTTAAACCAAGCACAGATAGGACTTTCTGCATTTTTACAGCATTTTGAGTCAATTATTTTCGCACTGTTTGAATTTAAGACAATCTGTGGCGATGGCTTGGGATAAATATTTGAAGTTTAGATGCAGTTTAACTGATCAAGACAAACACATTTACCTACATTACCAGCTTTTTGTTCTCTGCAGGATTTCTTTTTCTCTACCACCTCCATGGCAGGAGCATGCTGGATGTCCACGTGCATCTGCTCCTTCTGTACGCGGTCTTTGGAGAGACTCTTGTTGCCTTCCTGGAGATCTTTCACCGAGGCAACATCATTCTGGAGCTGCTGCGGTGCACGCTAACGGTGGTTCAGGGGACCTGGTTCTGGGAGGTAAATCTGAATGTGGCTTTATGAGCAGATGTTTATGTTTGCTGATTTATAGTTACTCCCAATGTTTTCTCCTCTAAACCACAGGTTGGTTTTGTGCTGTACCCGCCCCGCGGCCCCGAGTGGGACTTGAAAGATCCCAACAATATGATGTTCATTACCATGTGTTACTCCTGGCACCTCGCCTTCGCCATGCTTATAGTGAGCGTGCTCTATTGCATCGTCAGCTGGTAAGAACCTGCTCCACAAAAGACAATCCAATAAGACATCCCATTGTGATTTAGATATATTCAAAGAATTGGAAATGCATTTTTTTTGTCTTATTTAGCACATAAGGCTTTAAATTGGCCATAGGTGCAGATATAACCAGATACAAGGAGAACAAACCTCTGATTCATATTTAATCAAATTTGGTTTTTGCCACTATTTCACCATAAAATCCAAGAGAGAAAATGTGTAATAAATGTGTTTTTGCTGCTCAAGAATGTAGATTTAAAAAACAGTGTTCCCTCGTTTATCGCAGGTGTTATGTTCTAAAAATAACCCACGAAAGGTGAAATCCGCGAAGTAGGGAACTTTATTTTTTACAATTATTATAGATGTTTTAAGGCTGTAAAAAAACCCTCACTACACACTTTATACACTTTTCTCAGACAGGCATCGACATTTTGACGCGCTTCTCTCTTGTTTAAACACTCTCAAAGTTCAAACCTTCGTAGAAAAATAAGTCCAGTATTATAGAATGAAACCAAAGATCAAACCCTGTTTTCAAGTCCAGAACATGTGAATAGAGCAGCTGCGAGACAATTCAACATTAATGAATTAATGATACGGAAGTAGAGGAAGCAAGAAGAAGGAATTGAGTGAAGTTTTACTCATCTGACTTTTGGTTTACTTAATGCTCCTTATAATCCTTTGACGTAGACACTGTTGTGTTTGTTGTCTTCTGCTAGCGAAGATTTATGTAGATTTGACAGGCTGACGAATTCTGTACTGTATAAAAGACACAGCACGAGATTGATTGAAAATGGTCTATAGCCGATCAGGACGCAGAACACATTGCGCTGTTTAAAAAAATAAATAAATGAAAAATTGCACCCCCGAAAAAATCTGCAAAACAGCGAGGCCGCGAAAAGTGAACCGCAATATAGCGAGGGACCACTGTAACACATCAATTAAAAAAAACAAACAAAAAGAAAACCTTTGGATTTCAAAAGTTATACATTTAATTTTAGTTCCAATCATTAGCCCTAGTGCATACCTATAGGGACAAAAATGTACTGTATTTTTCTATATCTGATAGACACTTGTTTATTTATCCTGGAGACCTGCACAGTTTACAATATGTGTGATTCTCGTGTTTGTTGTTATTTTCCTCTTGAAGTGCGGTTCGCTCCAGACTGAAGAAGACTCCTCCAGTGGAAATGGGACTTCTGAAGGCAAGAGAGCGAGATCCAGAGTCTGAGGATGAGCTTATGTGAGGAAGACTGTTGTGCATCTACGTTGTGGCTCATGAACATTATAGAACAATCAGGGATAAAACGCTCAAATTTCCAGGAGCAGAATAAGAAGCAAGGCACACAGATGTGGAAACTGATGTGGATACGGAACCTTAACCTTAGAAATGCGTCTCTACCTCTGCCTTAATTAACCAGCTGTACAACATTTTAAACGTACTTTTGTTATTACCTCCTCCAGAGAAGCTTTATGATTTGTTCAGTTTATTTTTCAGCAGGATTACTGGACAGAACTCTTGTGGCTTGGCAAAATTTGTGACTGTATATATAACTATAAAAATATGTGCATCGCCACCTGGATCCAGAAGGTTTTGAATCATTTACCATTGCAAGAGAACAAGACTGGATGTTTCACAACATCACAGCTACAAAATACAGTTTTAATAATAAATATCAAAAGATAACATCTTTTGTGAAAATATAAATTAATCTGGATGCAGAGAGTCGGTTCATGCAAGGTGCGGAGGGGATTACCTACCTTAGTGGAGGTATGCAGTCACAAGCTGCTCTTATTTATTTTACAGCAATATAATTTTCATATACTCTGTCATATCTTTGTTACTACTTTGCGCATTCAATATAAATGAAAAGCTTTTAATGGATTTCATGCTTTACTTTTGACTTGCTAAACTTCTTCCACAGTTTGGTATTCAGTAGTGCTATTTGTGGTGAAAACGTCACTGCATCATCATGTGTATTACTTGAAAGCACTAGTTGTACATTTTATATTGTTTCATGTTAGCAAGTGACTCAAACCAAGTGTCAAACTATAAAAAGAAAAATAAAATTGTTCAAACAGTAAATTTTTTCTAATTTTATTTAATTCCTATCATTTCCTTCACACCTTGCATAACATTATAGCTAGTATGTAAGTTTTACAATGTGCTACTCAATACAGAATTTATGGTAGCCTCTATGATCAAATTTTACTTTTTTATATGTTTTAAAGTTGGTTCTCTTTATTCATGTATCCATAATCACCATCATCTATCAGTGGCTCTCAGACAGGGTCATTGAAATGATCAATTAATTTGCGACAAATTATTATAAAGGTGACAGCAAAGGATGTGGTTTCTACCAATAAAGGGAAGTCTAATAGTTCAAATACTAAGACTACTACTAGCCCTAAAATGCCTGAGAACCCCTGATTTTTAGAACACAATCACATTAATACCAAATGATCAGTCCTAATAAAGTGCTTGTGCAGATTTATTTTTGTCAGGGCAGGGCAACACAAAACATCTGTTGACAAGAGGGATAAACAAAGATGTTCTTTTTGACAAGATTAAACACTCGGTCTTGAAAAAAGTGGGCCTCTGTGTGACAGTCTTTGCACATTTAATGGAGGTATGATAAGCAGTTCGGTTAAAATACTACGAAAAACGCAAAAGGTGCTTTATTTGATTATTTCTATCAATTCATTCAGAAATGCAAGAGAGGTGTAACAATTTATTTCTACCACTAACTAGTAGAAATAAATTGTTTTAAGCCCAGCTTTACAAAGTAAAGAAGTGAATTATATACGATGGACCAACCACTTTGTTTTGATTCCCGGGGAATCAAAACAATTATTTAACTTGTATAGTTATTTTTACAGTTTTAAGAGAAAACTTGTTATCTCCGAAAAAAATAAATAAAAGTGGTGTCTGGACCCTCTTGTTCACTCATGGCTGTACTGGGTGGTGCGTTTAAATTTTTCTAACACTGAGTCACGTCTGGGAAAAAAAGATCAGAGTGAGACGTCTTTGCTGCTGTTCCGGTTCAGGTGTGACGATGAAGTGACCCACCTGGCCAGGTAAGGTACTGGCAGCTCATCCGGCTCTCCCTCTGCTGGCATGTGACGCTGTTGTCCATTCACACAGATCTGAGAAAACCCGGCAAAGTTCCTATCAGTTCAGGAAACAACTATAATTCTTCACCAATTAAGCCGAATTTTAAAGCTCCTCGGGCATGGATAAATTAAAGTCGGTTCTGAGCGGTGAGGAGGCGCGCAGAGATGACCGGAACATTATACAGGTAAAGCCTTAATCCCATCTTTCACTGTTGTGGCTAGTAATCTCAGCTGGTCATTAATCGATCGTTTATTCAATCTCTACTAATGCAGCAAATGAACCAAGCTTCGACTTTAGGCTGGGGCACACGTATAAAGGGATTCATCGCCTGCTTCGTGGTGGGAGCTGCATGCACAGTTCTGGTAAGAATTTAATTTCTGTGTTTTGTTTTTTTTTTTTTCTACGACAATATTCAGTCGCTCTCCACAACGAGGAAGAGCTCAGAGAAAGCTGGTGTTGCCCTACTGGTTCTTCTTGCTCTGAGGAATGCTGAAGATGTGATGCTCTTTCATTTGGCGACACTGCCTAGTCCCTCCTTAAAGTGAGGCTTATAAAACATGACGTGTGATCCACCTGCATTCACGTGTGTCTTGCAGGGAGTGTGTGTGCTCTTCCTCCCCAAGATTGGGATCACTCTCTTTATTGTCTTTTACACATTTGGCAACATATGTGCTCTGTGCAGGTTAGTGATGAAAAAAATACCTTGAAATGGGAAGCTTATTTTGCATGTTTTACACACTTAATACATGCTTTTCTTTCTTGCACATTTCACTGTGTCCAATAGCACAATGTTTCTGATGGGCCCAATGAAGCAGCTGAAAAGGATGTGTGACAAAACAAGAGCGCTGGCTACTACCCTTATGTTGGTAAGTGCAAAAAAAAAAAAAAAAAATCAACCCCCAAAAGACAGAACATGTTACACAAACATGAGTGGACTGAGTTCAGTAAATTTAGATTCATTGCAAAAAAAATTCTGTTTTCCTTAAGAGTTCAAGAGCTGGTTAAAGGTGAAAGGATTGCATAACACATTTCTGCTTAGAGGATTGCATGACAACACCAAGCTAGAGTTCAGAAAACTTGGTTGTGGATGGACTGACAAAAATCAGACCCTGATGTGCAAACGTCTCTCTTTAAAACTACAATATTTGCTGTGATGGAAGATTTGCTCTCAGAATGTCCCACAGCAGGTGCAATTAGGTTACCATCCTCTTTCTTTCAGTGCTCAGTATGCAAATATTTAAACTACATGTAGGTAAATAATTAAATCAGACACTAATGTGACACCTGTGTTGTAGATCTGAAGATTTTCTCAGCTTTAATGTGGTTATGAGCATGGCCATGTCGCCTATGTAATGCCCAAGCATCATACTTTGCAGTTCTGACATATACAACTGGAAGCAAGGGTATTATAGTTAACTAACAGGCCCTAAGAGATGTTAGTGCAAGTGAGGAGGTCATCACTGGGCTGAAACAAAACAACATCAGATAGAAACCAAAAACTTTAGGGATAGCCAAATGAGCAAACTGGTAGAGTCATAAAAAGAAGGAATGCACTGACTCGCTCAGCAAAACCAAAAAGCCTAAGGGAAGACCACAGAAAATATAAGACAGATGAAACCAGGATGACCTTGTACCAGAATGAATGGAAAGGAAAAGAAGGAAGAGAAACTGCTCATGATCTGAAGTGTACCACATTATCTGTAAAACATGATGGAGGCGATGTTATTGCATGGGCATGTATGGCTGCTAGTGCAACTTGGTTACTGGTGTTTATTGATGATGTGACTGTTGATAGAAGTTGCGGGATGACCTGTGAAGTGTGCAGGGGTATAAACTGACCAGACTGCACTTCACAGTGCAAATAGACCCAAAGCAAACTGCACACTAACCCAACAGTTTCTCAGGAAAAGAAATGAGAAAATCAATAGAGCATGCTTTTCAGTTATTAACTACATAACTGAATGCAGAAAGACTCACAAACTAGGAGTAAATAAAGGCAGCAGAAGTAAAGGTCTAGCACAGCAAGACATTTGGTAATATCCATGGTTTCTAGACTTTAAGCAGTCAATGATTTTTATCAAAGTATTAAACAATCCTTATATTTACAACTATGTTAGTTTGTACAGTTAATGTGAGAGCCTAAAAATGAGGGTCTGTGTCCAAAAAATAGCTGTACTTCAAAAACAGTTTACACAGACTTTTGTTAAAACCCTTCAAATTAAAGCTAAAAGTCTCTCTGTCATTGCTTTAGACTTGTCTCGTTCTGACTCTCTGTGCGGCTTTCTGGGTGAGTGAGCCTCCAAAAAATACTTATGATCACTTCTAACTTTATCTGTTTATCTGTTGGATTAATGTCAGTGTTTGATCCCAATCTCTCTCTTTTTTTCTCACAGTGGAAGAACTTTGGACTTGCTTTGTTGTTTGTTATCTTGCAAGTCTTGTCATTTACCTGGTGAGTCTCTACATATCTAATTAATTTTTTTTTTTCAGTCTTAAATTTTTTTTGTTACATAAAATGTGTGTGTTTTCAGGTACAGCTTGTCATACATCCCATGTGTGAGGTTTGTAGATTTTGCTCCATTTATTCAAATCTTCTGTATAAATAATCAGAAAAAAGTGGTGTTCAAAGCCTAAATGTCTGGTTTATGTTCTTTACCTTCCAGAGAAGCAATCATGAGGATGCTGGCCATGTGCATGAAATAGGCCATGTGTGTTTGTGGTGAAGGTTCAGCTTGGATGAAGTGTTGAAGAATGGGGCAGGTCTCTTACTGAAGTTGCTAAAATTGGCTCCTTTAGAGAGTCTCTGGCCCTTCCTGCTGCTCAGACATTTGTTTATAGGTGAAAAAGAAGCAAATTTTCTATTTATCTTTCTCAGTTGTGCTTCATTGATTGATTGATTAATTTTTGGTGACCACTCAAATTTAACCAGTTTATAATGATTGTAGACTTTGTTTGTAATATGTGTAAATATCTGTAATAAATCAGTATTTTAAACTTTTTAAATTTGTTGTTGTTGATTTTTGTTTTCATCTTGCTCAGAAAAAATCTATTTTTATTAAAAGTTCTTATGGTCTTAAATTGTGTTGGTATTTGAATGTGAAGCTCAAATAGTTAATCAGGGTATGAACAGGTCCTGTTAATATTATAATATGCAAAATGTATTTTTTTAAATGGTGAATTTTTAGTTATCAGGAATTATCTCTCATTTAGTATAAGTTTATATTTTTGGTTCTTGTTTCTGTTTTCAGAACTAAACTGTCAGAAAATCTGTTTCACGTTAAAACTCGAAGCACTTATTTTACATCTATTTGTGGAGTTTTAAGACCTTTTCTTATTATTTTGTTTCTAGGGAGCCTTTTTTGTAAAGTCTTTTTGTTGGACATTGGCTTCCTTTTCGCTCATTTTCAGTCCAGTCCTCGAACCCGTCCATTTAAAGAGGAATGTCTTTTGTTTTCTGAGGTCATGAGTAATTCAAGCAAAAAAAGACCCCGGGCTTCAGAGATTAACCAGTGTGACTTCTAGCAAAGAAAGCACCATTAAATTTTATTATCAGGCACTTAGTTACTAGCGACCTGTCACAAAAAGCCAAAGTTTGTAAAATGTGCAAATTCTTAATCGTTTCTAGAATTTAAAAACAGTTTCCCCCTTATATTCTGTAGTTGCATTTATGTTTGCATATATTTCCCGTTTTCCTAGCAAAATATAAAGAAATGAGCGTTGCTCAAGAAAGAAAACAAACTTTTGGCGAAGTTTAAAAAACCGCGCGCCTTTCCGTAGCGTCACGTGACCCAGTCAGGAAGCATAAACTGCATGAAAACAACAGTGGGAACTCGCATGTCTGTACATGTCTGCGATAAAGTCGTCTTTCGTATAAATTGTAGTCCTGCCGGTCAGCAAACATGTCGGACATTTTGGTGA